CATGCTGCAGAGTGGACTCCTCAAGATCACGACGGAGCTTCTGGAACTCAGCCTCACGCTTCTTGTTCATCTCAATCTGAGCAGAGGTGGCACCTCCAGCCTCCTCCAGCCTCTCACTGATCTCCTCAAGTTCCCTGGAGAGGTCAGCTCTCTGCTTCTCAACCTTGGCACGAGCTGCACGCTCAGCCTCAATCTCCTCTTCCAGTTCCTCAATACGAGCCTGTTGAATGTAGATGTTTTCTCTTTTAGCAATCATTCACTTTATTACACATAATAGCAAATGTATGCAGTATTGTTAAGTGTAACACAATATCTCACCTGGAGCTCCTTGATCTTCTTCTGGAGCTGAGCACCCAGAGACTGCTCATCTTCAATCTTGCTAAGGAGCTGACTGCATTCAAAGTCCTTCCTGTGAAAAAAATTGATAAAGTACATTGAGTTCATGCAATTGAACACTTCTTTAAAAAAATGTATGTTGTGCAAACAGAAAAACTAAGTTACTTTTTGATTTTCTCATCAGACTGCTGCTTGTCATTCTCAAGATCCATGACGGATTCCTGGGCCAGTTTGAGATCACCCTCAAGCTTTCTCTTGGCTCTCTCCAGGTCCATACGCAGCTTCTTCTCTTGCTCCAGAGAACCCTCAAGCTAAACAAAGGTGTACATTTTTAATGATCATGTTCAAGATTAATCTTGCTTTGCCAAATCAAGTGACTGTAAACTTACATCATCCACTTGCTGCTCAAGCTTGGTCTTGGCCTTAGTCAGAGTGTTGACTTTGTCTTCCTCTGCCTGCAGGTCATCAAGAGTCTGCTGATGAGACTCCTGAAGGGCTTTCTTTTCCTTGCTCAGCTTAGCAACGCTCTCATCCTGAGAGGCCATCTCCTCGGTCAGGTTCTTCACCTAAATGTGCAAGAAATTGTCAATACAAAGAACACTATCATTTCACTTCACCTAATGGACAGATTATGAATTCCAAACCTTGTTCTCAGTGGCATGTTTCTCCTTCTCCACTTTGGCCAAGGTAAGCTCCAGGTCATCAATATCCTTCTTGAGCTCAGAGCATTCATCCTCCAGCTTTCTCTTTTTGGCAGTGAGCTCGGCATTGATTTCCTCTTCATCCTCCAGTCTCTCACTTGTCTCTTTGAGTTTGGCCTCCATCTGAATCTTACCTTTGATAAGTCCCTCACATCTCTCCTCAGCATCTGACAGATTTTCTCCTTCCTAGACCATTTTATAAAATTAGAAATGAGCAAATCAACTTGGACATACATGGAAAAACGATCTCATCTGTCTGATAATGTTTGTACTTACAGATGCTACTTGCAGACTCAGATCATTCTTCTCCTGCAGAAGGGAAACCATCTTCTCCTCCAGTTCCTTCTTCTTGGCCAGGGCAGTAGCCAGGTCAGTTTTCATCTTGTCATAGTTCTCCTTCATATTTGCCAGCTCCTTCTCAGTTTCAGCACTCTGCAGCAGAGGCTTAATCTTGTAGTAGACCTTCATCCATGGCCAGTGTTTCACATTCATGAATGAGCGGATATTGTACTGGATGGTATATATAGCTTCCCTGCAAAAAAGAAACAGCTTTTTTAGACGATGTTATATTTGAATTCTCAAATCACAATTGAGAATGAGTTGTTAGCAACATGCCTTCTCTCAATCATCTTTATAAACGCCTTTCTCATGATATAGCCACGGGCCAAAGCCTGAGTCAGGGTGACCAGAGATGCAAGTTTTTCGTCTCTCATCTCCTCAAGGGTACCCAGCAGTCCAGCCTTGAAGAACACCTGAACAAAAGAAAATGTAAAAAAAATGTATAATGAACTGATATAGTCCTGCCACATGGTGGCTTCTTTCTCTTTATAGTGCCAGTAATTCACTTCTGTGTTTCCTTGGCACCAGATATCTTAAATTAAAGGGAGTTTCACATTTTCTCCTATTTTCTTTCTCTTTTTTTGGTTTCTAAGGTTCATATATACATGTTGAATTAATATGAAAACGATCAGACACACTAAACTGAACCACTTGACTTCATTCGAAATGAATCTTTAGTATGTTAAGGGAAGGTGCTTACCTTGGTGTGTCCAAATTTATACTCGTCATGAGGAACATCAACTGACCCAAGCAGCTTCTCTGAAGCCTTCTTGTTGTCCATGAACTGACCCTCAGGGATGACACTGGGATTCAGCACCTTGTATCTTTTATGAAAAGGTTTATGGTCAGTGGGAGCATTACATTTTAATAATCTGCTTCAAAAATTAACCTATTGCAATATCGACTGATACCTCTGCTTGAAGTCAGCATAGAGGACCCTGCTGGGGAAACCTTTTCTGCAGATTCTAATACCCTCCAGGACACCATTACACCTGAGCTGGTGGATAACCAGGAAGTTCTCCATCAGTCCTGTATACAAATACATTTCATAATGAATGATTTTAATGATTAGTAAGTGTCTTAATTAAATGCAAACAAAACCTAACCCAATCATTAAGACTATCACGATTATGTTCTCTATTTACCTGGAGTCTTTGACTCATTAGGAATCAGACAGCGCACAAAGTGAGGATGGGTGCTCCTCAAGTTAGTCATCAGCTTGCCCAAGTTCTCCTGTAATCCATAATGGTGTCTCATGTCATGAAATGCCACAATTGTGAGTTTTAGTTTAAACAGAGAGCTATTAGATATGTTTGCTTTGAGAAAGCTTACCCTGAACTGTGAGGACACAGTCTGCATAGAACCACCCTTCTTCTTGCCTCCCTTCTTACCAGCCTCTGGTGATGTTTTGTTAGAATGTCACAAGATTAGCATAAACAAGTAATAGTTGATGAGTTAAAATAAAATAATATTACAAATATTATTAGTAAAAAGTATATGTTATCTCTGGTCTTAAAATATGTTTACTGTAGTTACTATCTTACCCTCAACTACTGGAGGATACAGCAGAACAAGCAGTTTCACTGAGGATTTCATGTACAGCTGAATGACAGAGTCATTCAGGGGATCCTTGTTCTTGTCCAGCCAGCCAGAGATGTTGTAGTCCACGATACCAGCATAGTGCACCAGGGAGAAGTGGGCCTCAGGCTTGCCCTTTACGGGCTTTGGCTTCTCAAATGCTTTGGTTTTGCCAAGATGCTGGTCATACAGCTTGTTCTTGAAGGATGTGTCTGAGGCCTTGGGGAACATGCACTCCTCTTCAAGGATGGAGAAGATGCCCATGGGCTTTAAAAAGTTGAAAGAGGTATATAATTTAGTGATACATGATAACAAATACAAAAACAGTTACATATGATTTATGATATAATAAATTAAGTGTTTACCTTTTCAATCAGCTCAATGCAGGCAGCCAAGTCCATTCCAAAGTCAATGAACTCCCAGATAATACCCTCCTTCTTGTACTCCTCTTGCTCCAGGACGAACATGGTGTGGTTGAAGAACTGTTGCAGTTTCTCATTGGTGAAGTTGATGCACAGCTGCTCCAATGTATTGAACTGAAATGGACATATAATCTTTATAATCTCTTACAAGGCAATAAGAACTATTATTTATTGAAGTATCAACTGCTAAATTGTTGGAACTCAGGCTTACATCAAAGATTTCAAAGCCAGCAATATCCAGCACACCAATATAGTACTGTCTAGCTTGTTTGGTGTCCAACATCTGGTTGATACGGATGACCATCCACAAGAACATCTTCTCATAGATAGACTTGGCCAGGGCAGGCACTGAGTTCATGACCTTAAAGAAAACAGTAATGTGATTAGATTTTTGACAATATAAAACCGTTTTTTTTTACCTTATAAAGAAACATGACACAACATTTCAAGTATAAAAATTGCATCAAAGATGTCCCTTGACTTTTGAATTTAGTATTAAATATAGGGAACTCATTGAAAGAAATACGCCAACAGATATCGCGTTTCTTTTTCCTAGTGAACTCTGTACTACATTTTTAGTTTTTAAATAGTACAAAGTCGAATATTGATATGTATTGTTTACCTGAGGTACAGTCTGTCCCTTGGTGACATACTCATTTCCGACCTTCACTCTAGGATAGCACAGACCCTTCAGCATGTCAGCGGAGTTCAGACCCAGCAAATAAGCAACCTTGTCAGCATCTGAAAACAATTCAGAAATGTCCATTATAATTTGTGAAGAACACAATGTTATCAAGAAATGTACCAATGTTGTTGCCAAGCTCTAAGCTTTGAGCTAAGATTAAATACTCACCCTCTGTGCCATCAGGCTCAGCCTGCTCCTCACGCTGCTTTTGCTTGAACTTCATGTTACCATGGTGAAGCACAGCACCGGTCATCCTGTAAATGCTCATCTTCTCTTCATTAGTGAAGCCCAGGATATCAATAGCATTCTGGTTTCAAAAGACACAAAAAACATAATTGCTCAAGCAAAAGTTCTTAAAAGAGTTGTAATGATGTTGCATTTGTTTCACAAAGTCTATTTAAATATGTTGAATTGAAAATTACTCACATCCGTGGCTTCCAGCTCGAGTTTGTCATCAATGCTGGCCACAGTGATCTTACCCATGCTACACATGGGGAAGTCGTAGGGGTTGGTTGTGAGGAGTGCCAGTTCTAGAATCCCAAAAATATAAACATGTCAGTAGATATTTTTTATAAATGTAAAATAAGGTTAAAACAATTGTAATATCTCAATCTCCTTACCAATCAGCTCAGGTATGTGGGCGGTCATCATCTGGTAGAAGATATGGTAGCCTCTCTCTTGCTCAAGCTGGAATGTCACTCTAGACTTCTCCAGCAGATCTACAAGATTTGATCATATGTCAGAGCCAGGCTAAATCTTACTTACAGTAGTTTGTATATACTATAAGGATTGTTACTTACAAGTCTCAATATCAGCACTAGCCAGTTTGCCAGCTGTGTTGAAATGGATTCTGATTGAATTTACCCTGTTTGAAATAACATAATCATTAATGTCCCTCCACATGTGGCAATGTAACAATGCTTCTCTCGTGTGTAGAAACTGTTCCATACTTACAAACGAGAAGAGTTGTCATTCCTCACAGTTTTGGCGTTACCATAAGCCTCAAGCAATGGATTGGCTGCAATAATCTGATCCTCAAGTGACCCCTAAAATCCAGATTAAGAATTGCTGTCAGGAAACGACTTCATTTGTTCATCCCTGAAAAAACTTCTAAAGAATCCTGAATCGTCATCATCATAGAGTAACATACCTTTGATGTGTCCCTCTTGGGTCCAGAAACTGAGATTGTTGCAAAGTACTGGATGACACGCTTGGTGTTCACAGTCTTTCCAGCACCAGATTCTCCACTAGGTATAGACAGAGATCATTAAGAACTTGACCAATATGTTTGATTAATCTTAATTTAAAAAACAATTGTAAATGTTACAAACTTACGTGATCAAGACAGACTGGTTTTCCCTATCTGTAAAAGTGAAAAAAACATAAACCAATCAAGCACATGTTAAAAACAGAAACCCTATATACTGATGCGTTCTAAATGAGTGGTAATGACTTACCAGTAGCCATGAACTGATAAGCGTTGTCAGAGACAGAGAAGATGTGGGGTGGAGCCTCCATACGCTTCTTGCCTCTATAGGCATTTACACATTCAGAATCGTATACTGGGAGCCACTTGTAGGGGTTCACAGTGGCACAGAACAACCCAGAGTAGGTCTAAAAGTGATCATAGGGAATTAAAATGTAACCTTCCTATATATATATATAGATGTATATATCTATAGCAATATCCAATATTTCTCTTATTCTCATTAGACAAATTTACTTACGTAGATCATCCATGCTGCATAACGCTCTTTGAGGTTATACAGCACAGAGGCTTCATTGAGATGGGTCATCATGGCCATGTCCTCAATCTTGTCATACTTGGGAGGGTTCATTGGATACACATCACACTCTTTCATTACCTTCTCCTAGAACAGGAAATGTTTCACAATTAGATCCAATCATTTTACATTCCTAGTTCTCTCTGGCTTCCCACTTTAACTCTGACTTTGTGATACAAACCTCCTGAGTGGTCAAGACTTTGACAGTGATTTTGTCACCATCTTTCTTGAGGATTGATCCCTTCAAGTACAGCTCCTTGACATCAGCCACATAGCAGGCACTCTTGCCATCAAAAGGTGCGCTTTGAGCCTCAATTCTTTCCCTCTCTGGCTTACGAAGGTAAATGGCAGCTATGCCATAAGTGGCCATCTCCGCGTCTGTACTCATGGTGCCGGCTGATGTCTGTTGGATAATTACAAATTAATTGCAACTTAGACCTATGTTCATTAGATTGCACATGTAATTCAACATCATTTGAACTTAAAATGATGCAGATACATATCTACAAATTTGCATGTAAACATTATCTCTGTATTGTTACAGGTTGGCTTTAATTTCACTCAAAGTCCGTTTCAGACTTGGTTTTAACTAAGAGTATATACTAACATATTCTTGATGATTTGTAAACGTTTCAATTAATTACAGCAGACATTAAATGAAGAATAAATAATTTGCACATGTATTAAACACTTAAAAGTTTTCCTTACCTAACCCCTTCTCCTTCAACAGTATTGAATCAATCCTGTTCAAAACAGTTTTTAGTTGTTAGAGAAGGTAAAACAAGACTCACTCAACAAATATATCTATAACAACAAAATAATTGAGAATGAAATACATATTCAAATCATTTCAAGCTTAAGAAAGCATATTACCCCAAGTAGGAAATCAGAAGAGGCTGTTGCTGCTACCCTCTATCGTGTCCCCCAGTGTCTTTTATATTGAATACAATTTGATGACACAGTAAAAGTTAAATGTGGCATACACCAAATGTGGTATGACAGACTGGTTGGCATACAACTGATGTTGTTGTTACATATCATCTGATGTGTCAGGTTTCAGTAAGTATGGTCAGGTCTTTTCTTTAAGTTTATTTAAAGCTCTTGAACACCCTCTTAATTTTTTTAAAGGTATATTCCTTTTAAATTAATTTCTATGATCTTAAACTGCTTCTTTAATTTGATTAATTAAACCATAATTAATATGTTGGTAACATAACAATTAACAGTTTTTATAGCATAACTTGTAAAATGTTTTTATTTTACAGAATCCTTTTGTGATCATACAATTTAAACAAATATTAAATCAATGTCCTGGATTACTACAGTAAAACTAGGTTTAATTTAATTTTGAAAGATGGATTTTTAGGTTTGTTGCATAATGAGGAAAATAATCAGTAAGACATTCTCACTATCAATAATCAATAAACTTGAAACAATAATAAACAAAGATACTTTGAACAGCTAGTCGCATTCTCTGGCTCTTCTCTACATAAAACGTCTCTCTCTGACAGTATTTTTCAACTTTACATTGTGCAGCTTCACAGGAAAGGTTTCCTTGGATTTTTTTGACCAAGATATTCATTATGCTCTTGCAAATTTTACATGTTGGGATTAAAGTGACAATAGTCAACCTCTTTACCCTTCTCCTCAAACAGTCCCACCAACTAATCCTGACGGATCCAAAAATACTCTCAGACTTAATAATGATTGGAATGTCTTAGGCTCTCCTTACCATTGCCTGTTCTATGGACCTATAAATACACATTGGAGGCATGCTTATAGCTTTCCTTTCCACAGGCCTCAAATATTACACATGGTAACATCAGATACATATTTTTTGGTCTTTATTGATTTTAAATCATACCTCTACATCAGAAATGTATGCATCATGTATGTTGCATGTAACATACTATATGCCAGACATTCAAACAAAGATGGAAGAATTTGTCCCACATTTTGTCCTACATTTTCCAAACTTCACATTTGCCCTTTCTAGAAGCATATTAGATGCTAGTGGAGCCTCGCAGCGGCAAAACCGTGCCGCGCCACACTAATTGCGCCGCATAAGCGCATAGGTGCGCCGCTTTTTCAGCTCAGTTGAGGCTCCCTCCGCAAGATGAGGCCCCACGCAGTCTGCATGAGGGAATACTCGCAGACATTTCAATGATTTGTACGGCAAAGTTAGGTTTGGAAACAATATAATTTCCATGCATAACACGGCATAACACCGGCACAGCATTCGCACTAATAAGAAAGACAATTCCATTAAAGATCAAAAACGTTTATTGTGGTATATTTCACATCATATTATATGATTAGAAACAGTCAATCCACTCAAGTGCTTTACTCAGCTGCTTCTTTTCCCTGTAAAAAAACAAACAAAATATAAATACATAGAGTGTATATGCACAAGCATAAACATCATACTCTGCATACATCTGAATGTTTTCTCTGTCGTTCATTTCATAAAGATTTGGGCTATATTTGTTCTGTCAAGACTTAACTATTGCATTGAGAGTTATTTAATTTAATTTTCATTCATAAAAGCTGAAATGTCTTTATAGTTACCTTGCCAGAGTCACGGCTCTTTGCTCTCAGTTTGTTGACCTGGGACTCTGCAATGTCAGCACGCTCCTCAGCCTCCTCCAGCTCATGCTGAACCTTCCTGCACTTGGACAGATGAGTATTGGCTTGTTCCTCCTGGAATATGAGATACATAGTTTAAGGTACAGAAACCTTCAAACACTTTCAAATATAATATAAGAATGTGATGGTAATCTTAACAATCAGCAAGATTTGCTGGTAAAAATAAATCTGACATATACAAAAAAATGATATTTTGTCCTTACCGCCTCCTCAGCCTGCCTCTTGTAGGCCTTCACCTTCAGCTGCAATTTGTCAACCAGATCCTGCAGCCTGGCAAACATTTTTCTTATCTTCCTCAGTCTGTGAAAGACAGGTAAGATTAGCATGTTTCAATATTTTAATAGGTTAGTATATTAGATAAATTGGTACTGTACATGTTAACTATGAAAGTAACCATACCTGATAGGTGAGCTCCTTAACTCTCCTCTCATATTTGCGGACACCTTTAACAGCATCTACTCCACGTCTCTGTTCAGCCTCAACCTCTGCTTCCAGCTCATGCACCTTTTGAATAACATTAAAACATTAAGTATCCAGCTTGTTTTCAAAGGTTTCTTTCAGCTATATAAATCTTAGTATGACTTTTCTTTACCCTAGACTCAAGTTTCTGGAGCTGCTTCTTGCCACCCTTCATGGCCAGGTTCTCAGCCTCATCCAGACGGTGCTGCAGGTCCTTAACAGCAACCTCCAGGTTCTTCTTCATCCTCTCCAGATGAGCACTAGTATCTTGCTCCTTCTTCAGCTCCTCAGCCATCATAGCAGCCTACAGGAGACATCAAAACATGTTAATTAGAAATATCAACAAAAAAAATGGCCGTTAAAAGCAAGAACACATGACATTGAAACCTACATCAGTGATGGCCTTCTTGGCCTTCTCCTCTGCATTCCTTGCTTCCTGAACAATGTCATCCACTTCACCCTGGATCTGGACCAGGTCTGTCTCAAGCTTCTTCTTGGTGTTCACAAGGCTTGTGTTCTAAAAGGTAAAAATATTTAGCCTCCTAAGTCAACACCTGTCTAATATTCACAATATTAAAGATCTCATTAGATTCTTGAATTATTGAAACAAATGATTGGGTTTGTTCACCTGAGAGTGCAGAAGTCCAACACGCTCACTGGCATCAACCAGCTCTTGCTCAGCAATTTTGCGACTTCTCTCTGTCTGTTCCAGAGCAGCTCTAAGTTCCTCAATTTCAGCCACCATAAGACCGTTTCTACGGTCCACCATAGCAGCCTGCTCCTTGAAGTCATCCTGGGCTCTGACAGCATCATCAAGGTGCAGTTGTGCATCCTAGTGAGAAAAAGATCAGACACAAAACATGAATGCCAAAATGTAGCCCAATCTACCATAGTTGGAAAAACAACTGTTCCTTTCTATACCTTCAGCTGTGCCGTGCCACATTCCTCAGCTGCTTCTGGGACTCAGCAGCCTGGCGGTTGGCATGGCTGAGCTGAATCTCCATCTCATTCAGATCTCCCTCCATCTTCTTCTTGATTCTCAGGGCATCGTTCCTGCTCCTGACCTCAGAATCCAGAGTGCTTTGCATGGAGTCAGTCACTCTCTGGCTGTTCCTCTTGATCTGTTCCATCTCTTCATCTTTCTCTGCCAGCTTCCTGTCCACCTCACCCTTAATCTGGTTGAGTTCCAGCTGGACACGCAGGATCTTAGACTCTTCATGTTCCAGAGTTCCCTAATGAAATCAAACAATTAAACACTCATCTTTGCCTTCAAACACTGATATATGTGTCAATGATTTGTAATGTTATAAACTCCCAGGAAAAAGAAATACCTCAGCCTCTTCAAGAGCTGTCTGGATCTCAATCTTCTCTGTCTCCACCTGCTTCTTGGACTTCTCCAGCTCATGGATGTTCTTGCCAGTCTCACCAATCTGTTCAGTCAGATCTGAGATCTCCTCTGCAGAAAGATACATGGGTTTTATCATATTGTTGAGCCTTAAATTGTAAAATATCAATTATAATTTTTCCAACACATGTTGAATATTAAGTCTGTGACATTATGTAGAACTCACGTTGCAGATTCTTGTTTTCACGCTTCATGGTCTCCAGTTGATCAAGAGCCTCTTCATAAGAGTTCTTCATCTTGAACAGCTCAGTGCTGAGAGAACGAGCCTCCTTCTGTGCTCCCTCAAGCTCTGCCTGACCCTCCTCGTACTTCTGCTTCCACTCTGCCAACACCTGAATAATACAATTCATAGCGTTTCTTTGGTTATGTTAAAGTATCAGGGCAAAATAAATATTCATGTCATTGTTTGTGTGTTATGACCAAACACAGTAAATTGTGTTACCTTGTCAAAGTTCCTCTGCTTTTTGTCCAGGTTGGCAGCAAGGCCATTGGCCCTCTCCACATCAATCATGAGGTCCTCCACCTCACTCTGGAGCCTCTGTTTGGTTTTCTCAAGAGAAGCACACTTGGAATTCACTGCCTCAATCTGTTCCTCAGCCTCCTGAAGGCGCTGGGCAAGCTTTTTCCTGTTTGAAAATGGAGGTATTTGTGGCTCAGTTAAACTCATAAAGTTACAAGTTATTTTCTAATTATATTTGCATATATGAAACAACTAATTACCGTATTAATTAATCTAAATGATTGGCCTCAAAGTAAGAAGCTATACACATTTAAAAATACTAATTTTATTACCAGCAATTCAGGAATCAGTAGAGTTTTTGCTAAAATGCTACACTTCTGGCCATTTAACAGTTTGAATGTCACTCACTTGGATTCCTCAAGCTCCTCAGTGCGCTGGATAGCATCAGTTTCATACTTTGATCTCCACTGAGCCACCTCACTGTTGGCCTTGGACATTCCACGCTGCAGCTCAGCCTTGGCCTCCTGCTCCTCTTCAAACTGCTCCCTCAGCAGATCACAGTCATGGCGGGCTGATTGCAGGCCATGGGCAAGAGCATTCTTGGCCTGTTGTAAGACATATTATTAACCTTTACACAATTTCTAAATCACAAACAAATCATACAAATATATACTATCTTAATGGTTTCTTACCTTAACCTCCTCTTCAATCTGTCTCTTCAATTCATCAATCTGCTGTGTGAAGGCCTGCTTGCCTCTGGTCAACTGAGAGACAAGAGATTCCTTCTCTTCAACTTGACGGCTGAACTCACCTTGTGTGAAAAATATTATAATACGTTAGTTTGTGGTACGTTTCTCAATCATATACTCCACAGATCGTTCACCAAAAACATGTAGATACCATTTTCGGTCAGGAGACGTGCTTTCTGTCCACTTGTGTCG